GAGAGAGAGAATGAGAGACAGAGAGCATGAGAGGGAGGAGGGTCAGAGGGAGAAGCAGACTCCCTGCCAAGCAGGGAGCCCGATGCGGAACTCGATCCAGGGACTCCAGGATCATGACCTGAGCTGAAGGCAGTCGCTTAACCAACTGAGCCACCCAGGCGCCTCATTTCTTATGTTTTTAAAACCTTACTTACGTAAGGTGGCATACCACATATTTTTTAAAATTACTTTTTTTCTAAGCCTTCTATTTTTCAGATTTGTTGCTGCTGGTGCATATAGCTCTAGTTAATCATTTTACCACAGTAAGGGTCCTGTTTAATAAATATAATTAAATTTACTTATGAATTCTCCTGATGATGGTCATTCAGGTTTAAAATTTTTTTGTTTTGTTACTAATACAAAACAATGCTGCAGTGAATGTTCTTGTATACATCTCCTTGTATAGTACTTACAGTAGAGTTGCTTGATAATGGGGTATGCTGACATTTAACTTTAATTACATATACCAAATTGTTCTTCAAAGTGGTTGTACCAATTTAGCCTCCTACTAAAAATGTATTTCTTTTCAAATATTTGATACTGTAGGCTTCTAATATTTTAATATTTTCCAAGCCAATGAGTCAGAAATATTGTCCTGTTGTTTTAATTGAATTTGATTCAGTTTAACTATATTCCTCATTACTAGTGAGTCTAAGTATCTTTTCATATATTTGTTGGCCATCTGGATATTCCTCTTCTGTGAATTACCTACTCATGTCTTTTGCCTATTTTTCAGCTAGATTGCTTGTCTTTTTCTTAATGGCTGGCAGGTGTTTTTTCTAAATCCTGGAGATTAATCCTGTGTTGATTATATGCATTGCAAATACCTTTTCCTAGCTTGCTGCTTACTTTTAAATTCATATTTAGGTGTTTTTTTGTCATTCTGCAGTTTAATATTTTAATGTAGTCTTATTTCTTCATTTTTTCCCTTATGGATATGCTTTTCACATCTTGAGAAATTCTTCCTTGCTCTGGGACATAAAGATATTAATCTCTATTTCTTTTTCTTTTTTTTTTTAAGATTTATTTATTTATTTTAGAGAGAGCATGCACGTGCCTGCGCGTGTGTGTGGTGGGAAGGGGCAGAGGGAGAGAATCTCAAATAGACTCCCCACTGAACCCGGAGCCCGGGATGTGGGGCTCTATCTAACGACCCATGAGATCATGACCTCAGCTGAAACCAAGTCAGATGTTTAACCCACTGAGGCACCCAAGCACCCCAAGATATTAATCTATATCTCATTAAAAAATGTTGTATCTTACATTTAGTTCTTTAATTCATCTGTAATTGATATTTGTGTATGGTGTGAAGTAAGGATCCATTTCTTTCCTTCCTTCCCTCCTTCCTTCCTTCTTTCCTTCCTTCCTTCCCTCCTTCTTTCCTTCCTCCTTCCCTCCCTCTCTCCCTTTCTCTTTTTCTTTCTTTCTCACAGTTGGTTGTTCTGTCATTGTTTATTACTTACAGTAGAGTTGCTTGATTATAGGGTATGCTGACATTTAACTTTAATTACATATACCAAATTGTTCTTCAAAGTGGTTGTACCAATTTAGCTTCCTACTAAAAATGTATTTTTACATTTTCCCACAGATTTTAAATGCTTACCTCTGTCATATATCAAATTTCCATCTGTGTATGGATGTGTTTCTGGTCTCTTTATTCTATTACATTGGTGTCTATTATATATCATTACCACATGTTTTAATTACTATCACTTTATATACTTATATTTTTGGTCAATATGTGTTTTTTTTTTTTTTTTAAAGATTTTATTTATTTTATTTTTGAGAGAGAATGAGAGAGAGAGAGCACATGATAGGGGGGAGGGTCAGAGGGAGAAGCAGACTCCCTGCTGAGCAGGGAGCCTGATGTGGGACTCGATGCCGGGACTCCAGGATCATGACCTGAGCCAAAGGCAGTTGCTTAACCAACTGAGCCACCCAGGCGCCCCTATATTAATTTTAGAATTGACTTATTTAGTTACATACACATGTGTGCACATACACACTCCTTTTGGAATGTTAATTGGAATTGCATTGAACTTACAAATTAATTAAGGAGAAAATTGATATGCTTATGATGTTAAATGTTAACCGTTCCATGAATATTATATATGTCTTTATTGATTTAAATTCTCTTTTCTGTCTTTTAATAAAGTTGTATACATTCTCTAAAATGGTCTTGTATAACTTTAGCTGGATTTATATCCAACTATGGTTTTTGTGGCTTTTATAAGTGTACAGCTGAATTTGAGTTGTTTTCACTTCATTAGACCATTTGTGTCCATATTAATAAGTGATGCTATACCAACAGCTAAGATGGGACATGGAATCCTTTCCGTGATCTGGTGCCTGTCTGCCTCTCTAGCTGCATCATCTCTACAACTTTCCTTCTACTCTGTGCTCTAGGCTGACTGGGCTTCTTTCAACTTTTAAAAAACCATGGTCTTTCTTTCCTCCAGACCTTGTACAAACTGTTCTTTCTGCCTGGAAGACCCTTTCCAACTCCTTCATTTGAATATCTCCTACTTACTCCTTAGGTCTCAGTTTAGATGTAACTTTTTTTTTTTTTAAAGATTTTATTTATTTATTTGAGACAGAGAGAATGAGAGACAGAGAGCATGAGAGGGAGGAGGGTCAGAGGGAGAAG